ATAGAGTCTAAGGGTATCACAGAATGCATATTTCTTCGAAGATAATTAGAAGGCAGCTTTTTTTAAAAAATTAAAAGTAGGGAACAAAAAAAAGTCAGTTTTGTTCTAGGTGTGAAGTTTTTTGCATGTGGCTTAAAAGAAATTAACTTCAGTTTCACTTGTTAATTTTTACTTTCTCTGGCAGAGGGAAGTAAAGAGCAGGGCCAGTGGGTGGAGAAAAAGGAGTTTAGGACTAGTGCTATAATCTTATGCAAACCACTTCACTTTGGGTCAGAAGAGTGTGTGTGTTGTACCAGGGAATTGCTTGAAGTGATCTCTAAATTTTGTTCTGGTTTTCAAGCGAGTGTTCTGGTTTTCAGGCGTGTGTGTGTGTGTAGTAGGAGGCAATTGCTTGAAGTGATCTCTAAATTTTGTTTTCGTCTTCTGGCAAGTGTTCTGGTTTTCAAACGTGTGTGTGTTATAGTAGGAGGGAATTCCTTGAAGTGATCTCTGAATTTTGCTCTGGTTTTCAAGCTAGTGATTCTGTGATTTTACATTGGGTTAAGATTCTTGAGATAACAGTAAAGCCATCTGTGCTGATGTGAGTGAAATTTTTCCTTGGCCAAATTTTAGCTTTTTTTAAATAGAAGCCAAGGGTCCCAAGTTTGGTTCCTTGTAACTTTTATCAAGTAAAGAAAAGAACCGTCTAGAATGGGGTGCCATCTCCTTGCCCTCCCACTCTTTGCTCACTGTAGAGTGTGCATGAGCCTAAAGCATTTTTATGGCCGTTTTAACTGGAGTTGAAATTGACTCCATACCAATAGCTGCAGAGTAGAGTTTTTATCTGAGTGTATTTCTAATACTGTGGCTCTTCCTGCAGCCACGCCGTCACTCGTCCGGAGGAGCCTCCTCCTGTGGACCAGTTTGCAAGCCTGTGCCCTGCAGGGCGGCTCCCCCGGGGGCTCCCCTGGGACGCCTGCGGGGCTGTGTGCTGGCGCGGGGGGAGGTGGACGCGAGCGCGGCGTTCGGGCCCTCCTGAGAGGTTCGGGCCTTACAAGCAAGGCTTTGATTCTATTTTTGCTGAACGAGCTCAGCCACTTCCTGTGTTTGGCAGCGCCTAGCGCCTCGCTGCACTGCGGCCACTCGAGCCACGAGCCTGCGAGCCGCGCTGCCGCCGCAGCCGCTGGAGGACCGATTTTAGGGCCCCCGACAATGGCCTTCTCACGTCCTCGGCGAGAGGGAGGAGGAGGAGGACCCGGGCTGGCACCGGCCACTTGTTAGCCGATGATGACAACTTGGACTTGGGCTCCCCTCCCCCACCCGAAATCCCTAGCTCAGCAAATATTTGAACCTGCCCAAGTTAATCATGAAGCCGCGATCTTTATCTGAGAGGGACGTGCGAGCGCCCCGGCTCCTTCTCTCGCCGGCGCAGCCCCGGTCCCGGGCGGCCGGCCTCTGCACGGGCTGCGGGCGCTGAGCGGCGCTGCCGCGGGGGACGAGTCCCAGGGTCCGGCGCCGCCTGGCAGGAGGAGTCGGTTTGGGGATTTTTTTTTTTTTCCATTGTCGGATACAAGCATTTCCAAGGGAAACCGTTGAAATGCATAACCTGCAAAGTAAGTTGCCTTTCATTTGTGCACTGTTCTGCCCCGTGGCTTTTGCACTGTTTTGGGGGGGACTCTTGGAAGATTCACTTCTACAGTTCGTGTGTGTGTGTGTGTGTGTCCCAGGGAGAGGGAGAGATAGTAAGCACTGCATGAGGATGGCAGATGAGAGATTAGGGGAACCACTCCCCCATTTCCTTGGGCACAGTGCGAGGGAAAGATGGGGCTCCAGTTGGAAATGGGCAGGGAAGATAATTACCAAGTGCTGGTCTGGAAGTGGGGTCTGGCCAGGCCTGGGAGAGACGTGGACAGTCACCTGTCTCCCTGCCCTCCGCCCGGCTCTGTTTGCCCCATGGGCTCCAGCGGCAGGACCGGTTTGCACCAAGTGTGCCCAAAGGCATGGGCTGGGGGCAGCCCTGGGGGCCGTCGCGCTGTCCGCAGCTGCTGGGAGGACTTGGGTCAACGTTTTTATTAAACTCGGAATTTTTTTTTTCCTGAATCCCTTCTGAGGGCTTATCCTCCCCCCGGCCCCCACCACCACTTTTACCATTTTACCGTTTGTCTTTGCATTTCTGGTTACTTAAAGCTTTAGGCAAAGAGAGCATGTGAGTGAGAGAGAGTGGGAGGGTGTAGGATGCATCTGCCTTCCTCCTCAGTGGGAAAATGAAATAAGCTGGAAGAGGGACACGTGAGCAGTGCTCAGAGACTGCCTTGCTTTGCTATTTCTATATATTTTATGATTCCAAATTTGACAGAACTTCTAAGAATAAATTTCAAGGGCTTCTGTGTGCTTTAAATTGTCACAGAAATATGTGACAGGCACACGTACACAGATCACACAGCCCACTATAGTTTTTTAAATTAGCTACATTTACATGGGTGAGGGAAACCTTTTCTCCCTTCCTCCCTGCTCATTATAGAAGAACTAATATTTAGATTTATAGGGGAGTTTATTTCTTTACATTTAATACTGCTAAGAAGGAATAATAATATTTCTTCCCAAAGTGAGGCATTTGAGATGGAAGGGGGAAAAAAAGTACCCCATCCAAGTGATTACATCACCCACCCCCTCAAGCAGTATTTAGCACAGTAAATCTGAAGATGGGCTCATCAGTGAGAAATACTTTGCAAAGATAACTCTGCCTGTACTCTGCATTCTGATATATGGCCTGTCTTTTTTTTTTGGTGGGGGGAGTGCATTCCATATTCTATAAAGTCTAGCTTCAGCTGCAGTGTTTAATAGAGATTTTTGCCTCTACATTTTCTTTTAATTGTGCTTTCTAATGTAGTAGATTTGTGACAGTGTATAAGTTCTGAGTGTGCAGTGAATTATGGAGGACTGAAATGAAATATCCAGAGGGTTCTTGATCCTTCTTGCTCTTAATATATATCAGAGGTATTTTAGGACTGTAAAACATATCTTAAGTATACCATTTGGATGCCTTTGTAAGATTTTTACACCAAGAAATGATCAGGCTATCTATAAACCCAGATGCACTAGGGGGAGGGGGGGTAGAAAAAGCTACGTGCTGCTGCATATCAGCTTTTGTCAGCCTGCCAACAGTGGAGCATACCATGCTGCAAGGAGCAATAAAAAAAGGAATTAGAAAACTCACGGCTCAAGAACAGTCAGATTAAACACCTTTTTGAAACGAACAGCGTTTACACATTGCAGCTCTGTCAAATGTAGGATCTTCCTGAAGTCGGGGCTGTGTTAAGGCTGGTAGGGAAGAGAAATGATGAAGCAGGAGTGGTCTGGTGACATTTTTGTGACTTGATTGGCTGGGGTGTGTGATGTCATAGGTTACAGTGCAGCCCCTTATAGGTTTTAAAATGAATTCCAAGACACCATTACAAAGAAAGCCGGACTCTTTTCTTATAACTGAGCTCAGCCAAGGAAACTCTCGCACAAATGTACAACACTGTTTGGAATATGGAAGACCTGGATTTAGAATATGCTAAGACAGATATAAATTGTGGCACAGACTTGATGTTTTATATAGAAATGGACCCACCAGGTAATACTGCAGTATTCTTTAGAGAACTGGTTAATGTTGTGGCATTTAATTTTTTTGACAACTGCTATTAACAGCTCCTCTTTGGATGTCTGTTTTTATTAATTTGTTCTAATTTAATAAGCATGAGTTTGCTCACAGTGTGAAAATGAAACAAATGGTTTGACTGCCTGTGGAAGCAAGCAGGTCAGGCTGTGCTGGGTAAATGCTTATTCTTAGTTGAATGGGTATAAATTGGATTCCAGTTTTTCACCTGTGTCTTTTGTTACTCGAGCTCGTTTGCTGTTTGGGTTATATTGTATATCGTTCCTTTATTAAAAGGCTGCATCCTTGGTGCTTCTTTTCTGACAGTGGTTGAAAACAGTGTGACACTTTGCAGTGATAACACTCGGTACTTTAGAAAGCATGTCAAATGTAGCAGTGATTGCAACTCAGTTCTTGGTGCCCTGAAACTATTCTGAATCAAATGTTGAGACTTTGCCTGCTCTCTCTTCAGATACTGCAGTGAGAGAAGTTAGCTTTCCATTATTGAGTCTCAGGCTTTATAAGATCACCTGCTAGACTCCTGAAATAATTTTTGCTTAAAATGTTTAACAGTGGTGCTTTAAAACTTACGACTTAGAATTTAGCAAGATATCCTAGACTTATTTTACTTTCTCTTATTTCAGCCTTCCTCCCAATTAGGAAATTCAGAAATACTGCAGTCTTTATTTGTCATCAGTTGATATATGAATACTGATTTGACATTGAGGAAGAGGGGATATGGTTTTTAATCAGTCTTGGCATAATATAGAGCATAGTTATCCAATAGAATATTAACATGAATACTAAAGAGATTGAGGTCACAGAGGAGTCTCTTCAACTGGCATTTGGCAGAACAGTGCCTGAAATACTAAGATTAGAGAAACCCAATTCCTCCTCTTAAAACATATTGCTGTGTAGATGAGCTTTTTTATTACCGCAACGGCATTTGTGGAGGACAGAAAGGAAATTTGTCTTTTATAATTAAATAAGAGGAGGAAATTAAAACTAAGCCATGTGATTCCTCCTGCTGCTCTGTTCTTGGTTTCTTACTTTAGATAGATTTGACCAGATATGAAACTTTAATACAACTCAAACCTAAAAGTAGATGTCGTGACTCTGGATTTACTTTGAAATTCATTCATATGGCCAGCCCATTTTATTTGCTAGTCTCTAAGCTCTTTTTTTAAATTTTAATCTGTAGTCAAAGATTTCTGATTTTTAAAAAAAAAGAAAGTTTCATGGACTTGTACATTACTGCTGTGTTTCATAGCTAATCTTTTCTACATGAAAATGTTATTCATCTAAAGGAACTTGGGTAGAATTTTAAATGTTTATTTGCAGTTGGGATTGCAAAAACTTTTTCTTTCTCCTCCATCTACAGCACTGCCTCCCAAACCACCAAAACCCACTACTGTAGCCAACAACGGTATGAATAACAATATGTCTTTACAAGATGCTGAATGGTACTGGGGAGATATCTCGAGGTAAGGCTATAGAGACTCCTGAGTTTTTCAGCAGAGCTGGGGAGTTTAGATGAAGAGAAAGAAAAGCAAAAGCACCAGCTTGCTAAATTCCATTTTTAGGATATCATCCAACATAAGCATGAAGCATAGTTGGTTCCCTTCCAGAGACGACCATAGAAGTCACTGAGCTCTGGGGAGCTGTGGGTGCTGGATGCCGCAGGAAATTAAATACCCGAGAAGTTTCATTATTGACAGAGATGTCAGGGAGGCAGTAGGGTGAAGCGGCACTGCCTCAAGGCAGAATGTAAAGTCACTCTCTTTATTAGACAAAATCTCTGAGTTAACGTTAGTTAAACGTAATGAAGTGGCATTTTTAGTCTTAAGCTTTTTTTTTTTTTTTGAGGGGAGTAAAGAGGAAACCTTTTGGGGATCATGATTTTCTGTGCTGATTTGTTCAGAGTGACTGGGGTGTTAATTCTGAAAATGCCTTTAAAAAACATGAGGACCATCAAATCTTCGAGGTGAGCATTGTCTCATGTCCTTTTCACTTCAGGGAAGAAGTGAATGAAAAACTTCGAGATACAGCTGACGGGACCTTTTTGGTACGAGACGCATCTACTAAAATGCACGGGGATTACACTCTTACACTAAGGTGAGTTGGGGCACGTGGCTAAAATTGGCGTGTTCAAGGTGACAGTAGAACATACTGGGTTTTTTTAAAGAGAATTCTAATGCCATTATTTTTATACTGCATTTGCAGGAAAGGAGGAAATAACAAATTAATCAAAATATTTCACCGAGATGGGAAATATGGCTTCTCTGACCCATTAACCTTCAACTCTGTGGTTGAACTAATAAACCACTACCGGAATGAATCTCTAGCTCAGTATAATCCCAAACTGGATGTGAAATTACTTTATCCAGTTTCCAAATACCAACAGGTAATCACATACCCATGTTATTATAATATTTGAAAAAGATTCTTTTAATGCTTAGAAAATATTTTGAGGCAGATGAATTCCATCCATGTCATTAAACTCAAAAAACTTTCAAACTGTAATTTTGTGATCACAAGTGTATAAAATACTTTAACAATAAAATACTGTAACAAAATATCTGATGTGGGAAAATCCTCCAACAATGGTCATTTAAAAGTACCTTATCAACTGAATTTATTTTTCCCTTTTTCTTCCAATCTCTATAATCCTTCTAGGATCAAGTTGTCAAAGAAGATAATATTGAAGCTGTAGGGAAAAAATTACATGAATATAACACTCAATTTCAAGAAAAAAGTCGGGAATATGATAGATTATATGAAGACTATACCCGAACTTCCCAGGTGAGTCTTCTGTGAAAATCACATTAAAACTGTAGAGTTCTTAATCATTAGAATCAAGTGCATGTTATATTCAGCTTCAAAAAAAAGACTGTAAAGTGTTTTTTTCTGGCAATACAGGAGAGAGAGCATTTATTTGTGAATCATTGATTATTCTAGTACTTATTTACTATATCTCTAAACCTTTTAAATGAAGCCGGTAAGTGTCAGGCTAATAAATTAAGTTGGTTTGACATAATTGCTGATTGCAGAATTCTCTTTAGCGTAAAAGCTAATAATAACTGGAAGTTCTACAGACTTGTGTAATCTCTGAAATGGGGATTTAACCATGATAGGTAGGTCCTGCTGCAGTGAAAGGTTGAGGCTACATTTACTGCCTTGTTTTCCTAGAGGCTTAATCTCCTCTAGGCCATCACATATCTGGGACCGCCAGAGGGAGCAGAAGGATGCCATAAACTGCTGATAAAAGTGGAATGGTTTTTAAAAAAGATGAAAACTGTAGCAAAGTGTCACGCCATCATCTTCCATAGACTGGGAAAATTCTCCAAAGGAAATGTGTGCTTCTCTGATACTATTTTAAGGAGTTTTATGAATTAGAGTCCCACCTTGCTAACACAGGACTTACATGTCAGATAGTGCCAATCAGTTATCTTCGGTAGTGTCTTGCCGTAAGAAATTGTCTGTTGTGAAAGGAATGACCTTGTCTTATTAAAATTTGTGTTTCAGGAAATCCAAATGAAAAGAACAGCTATTGAAGCATTTAATGAAACCATAAAAATATTTGAAGAACAGTGCCAAACCCAGGAGCGGTACAGCAAAGAATACATAGAAAAGTTTAAACGCGAAGGCAATGAGACAGAAATCCAAAGGTTGGTGACCTGGGAGGGTTTCCTTGCCCCACAATTCTCTTATGCTATCTAAAGGTGACCTCTATTTCTGTGAAATGACAGGGAGAGAAAGCATTCTTTACCTGAGGCAAACTGTTGGGAATCAAAACTGAAACCTTGGGGGAACTTGCATGATTCTCCAGGTAATTACAGATGCATCTCTCTTGCCTACAGGATTATGCATAATTATGAAAAGTTAAAGTCTCGAATCAGTGAAATTGTCGACAGCAGGAGGAGATTGGAAGAGGACTTGAAGAAGCAGGCGGCTGAGTATCGTGAGATTGACAAGCGCATGAACAGCATTAAGCCAGACCTCATTCAGCTAAGAAAGACAAGAGACCAATACTTGATGTACGTACTGGAAGTGGGATCCTGCCCGTGCATGGTAGGTAATTGCGAAAATAAAGGATAGGTTCTGAATGCATTTTCTTTTTAAAACTCTTTTCCAGGTGGTTGACTCAGAAAGGTGTTCGGCAGAAGAAGTTGAACGAGTGGCTGGGCAATGAAAACACGGAAGAGTAAGTAGTTAGTACAGATGGGAGGGGGCAGGGCTGTTTTTTTCTTTTGAGGAAAATGCATGACTTGCTTTCTGCAGACCAAGTGAGAAATGGACTATCTTGTAGGAGAAAATACATCAGTCTCATTACCCAGTATTTTAAAAAAAGGAAAGTTTAGCAAAGAAGAACATAGATTTATCCGCACCACCTTCCCACCCCCAGCTCCTGCATCGGCTGGGGAATAAGTGACACTGTCCATAATGAAGCCCCAGAACCATCTGGAAAATCCCAGCATATTTTGGGAACAGTCAGAGGGGAGTTGGGAGGGAGACAACTGCTGTTTAGTATATTTTTAAAGCTCATGTATACCTTTTGTTCCAATTATTTAAAAACTGGCGTTCCTCCTAGTCAGTCAATTTCCTGATCTAAACTGGACAAACAGGATTGTTTAATACCGTTCTCTCTGCCCCAGGTAGCTGAGCATAGTTGCCGACTTGAAAACAGGAAGAGTCTCACTTGGTGCTGCTAACTTTGTTCAGGGGGTTGAAGGCTGAACTTGATGAGGAAGCTCAGGCCCGAGGAGCTGGTTGAGGCAGCCCCGTGACCGCCAGCCTGACTCTCTCAGAAGAGAGGCAGGAACTCGGTCGAGGCGATAGGCGGGCTCTGTCTCAGAGGGGCAGGCTAGCAGCCGCCATGTGCACCTCTCAGAAACCTCTTCTTCCTCTTTAGCCAATATTCGCTGGTAGAAGATGATGAGGATTTGCCCCACCATGACGAGAAGACTTGGAATGTTGGAAGCAGCAACCGAAACAAAGCTGAAAACCTGCTGCGGGGGAAGCGGGACGGCACTTTCCTCGTCCGGGAAAGCAGCAAGCAGGGCTGCTACGCCTGCTCGGTGGTGTATGTATCTGCAGCCAGCCACCCGCCTTGTGAGGCACCTCAGGGAGGTGTGCCAGCCAGCCTTGGGGGCACGGGCTTGAAAAAGTTCTCATTTTCAAGCATTACAATAGTGTAGATGAGGAAATATGTAAAACCTAATATTGGAACGTCTAAGCAGGAGTATCTGTTCAGAGGGTCTCGTAGAAAGAAACCTGCTATTCAGGTGGAAAACTGAGGCTCTGGGCGGCAATTCAGCACCCATCTCATCACAAGAAGTCTTGTTTTTCTTTTTCATCTTTAAAATGGAAACAGCCATACTTGCTGTTTCGGGGCTTCCGTATAGTTAAAAGCATAGGAGATTCCCATGGAAGCACCACGAACAGGTGAAGTCCCCATCAGGGACAGGTTAAAACAGTAAGAGAAAGGGCTCTGCTCACTGTCCCTGCCATCAGTACGCCCGAGAGAAGACATTTCCCTCCGAGAGCCGGTTTTCCTTTGTCTATCGTCATAGTCTGGGGAGTCCCACGAAGGGGGAGAGGTTGGATCACTGACATTATTTCAGAGAAGCAAGTGGCCTGCCGAAGGGAGAGGCTCTCAGGTATTTCTTAGCCTGTCATCTCCCTCCATGTAGGCAGAGGGCTACTGCTACAGGAAAGAAGGGAAAAGACCTTGAATGAAGACGAGTCAATAGGAGAATATAGAGTAGATGGAGAGGTATGTGGACGGCTCCAGAGCCGTCGCACAGTGACCATCCAGTGGCTCACTGAAGCTGGTTACCTCCCCAGGTCACTAGCCACGGAGGGCCACGGGGACAGCCCCACCAGGCCAGAGCTCAGGCAGCACCCGGTGTCCCTTTCTCGGGACGCGCTTCCCTCAGCTGACGCAGGCCCGTGTGCTCTCTCCCCCCACGCAGGGTGGACGGCGAGGTCAAGCACTGCGTCATCAACAAGACGGCCACGGGCTACGGCTTCGCCGAGCCCTACAACCTGTACGGCTCCCTCAAGGAGCTGGTGCTGCACTACCAGCACACGTCCCTCGTGCAACACAACGACTCCCTCAACGTCACCCTGGCCTACCCGGTGTACGCGCAGCAGAGGCGGTGAAGGGCCGCCCAGCCTGCTCCTCACCTTCGGCCCCCCCAGGCCTCTGGCAAGCACAGGGCTCCCCTGCAGCCTGACCTGGGAACTGAGCTGCGGACACCCAGCCGCCCGTCTGCAGATGGGACTCGAGCCTTCGGCCCCACGGCAGGAAGGGAAGACGCCCCGCAGGGCCACGCGCCGGACAGCCGCCGTTCTGGTCTGGAGTGCTTCGTCAGCCTTCCTTTCTTCCCTCTTTCTGTTTCGGTTTTGGTTTTTTGTTTTTTTTGGTTTAATTTAAAGCCACAACCACACACAAAGAGAAAAAGAAATGCAAAAATCTCTGCGTGCAGGGACAAAGAGGCCTTTAACCATGGTGCTTGTTCGTGCTTTCAGAAGCTTTACCAGCTCAAGAGTTGGGACCTTGGAGACCGGAGCAGGGACGGGCTGAAGAGCCCTAGCCTGGGGTCGCTCGGTCCAGCCTGGGTGTTGCTATGCACGGTGGCCCCAGACACACTGCACTGTGGATTATTTCATTTTCTAACGAAATGAACCGATATGTAGCAGAAAGGCACTTCCGCTCGCAGGGAACACTTGAGGGAATGTCCGCTCCGTGCGTTCAGAGGAAATTCTGTTGTAGCAGAGTGCCAGAAAGTGTTTTGTTGACATTCTCAAACCAAGAAGACCCACCAACAGAGAAATGGAGCTTTGAAAACAGGACTTCAAAATGACATTTAGTATATAAAATATGTACATACTATTGGATGACTAACTATCAAATAGATGGATTTGTATCAATACCAAATAGCTTCTGTTTTGTTGTGCTGAAGGCTAAATTCACAGTGCTATGCAATTCTTAATTTTCATTGTTATTATCTGTTTTAAATGTACCTTCAGAATAAGCTTCCTCTGCCCCAGTTTTTGTTGCTTGAAAATACTGTCCCTGATTTTTTTTTTTTTTGTTAATATTCATTTTGTTACTCATTTCCTTTTTTTTTTAAGAAATGTACAGGATGCCAGTTTTAAAAAAATGGCTTCAGAATTAAAACTATGAAATATTTTACAGTCTTTCTTGTACAGAGTACTTGGCTGTTAGCCCAAGGTTAAAAAGTTCATAACAGATTTTTTTTTTGGACTAAATGTTTTGTTGGGCAGTGCCTGATAAGCTTCAAAGCTGCTTTATTCAATAAAAAAAAAAAGATATATGGATATGACAAAGTATCGCTGAGTTCAACAATGTTGTTTCAAGACTTAAGATACGGTACCTGGCAATGTTTGTTTCGTAAAGAATTGTGAACTTCTTGAATCTAGGGAGGGGGATGTAGCAAAGGGTTGTACAAGCGGGGTGGGGGCGGGTTGACGAGATGGCATGCACTTTCTCTTTCTTGTGATTATGGAGAAGTGGATCACTGCAAAGTGAAGTCTCTTCCCACTTTGATCTGCTACTTACTATGCCCTCATGACAATTACAAACCTACTGGAACGCTAGTTCTTAGGAAGGCAGACAGGGTCTTCAAGCAGTGCTCATCCTTGTTGGAAACACTGATTTCAAAGTAGCATTGCTGCATTTAGAAAACCTGTCTCTCTCTAACATCAGACAACCCATTAACAACCAGACAACATCCATTTTAAGAAAAAAGCATGACCTGAAAAAGATATTTTTATCCGGATATCTGCTATTTTCCTAGCTTTCCATTCAACTTAGATCAGAAAGCCTCACATGGTCATCATCGTTCCTGCCCCGATTGTGGGGAGCTTGTTGAAGTCATGGCCATTGTGGGAATCATAGTAACAGTCCTCATTCACCCAAATAATTGTGTGTTATACTTCATTGTGGGGAAGAGGGAGGAACTGCTAGAGTATTCTTCCCAACTTAAGGCAAGAGCAAGAGGCCTCTATCCCCCACTTACGTATGTAAGAGCCTTTCAGTTTAGTGGGAACTGTGCCTACACTGGAAGGAATGAAGGGGAGATTAAAATGGAATCTTACAACTTCAGTTCTTCTTGCTCAATGTTAGATTCTCCACAGCTTTGTTTCTCTTTCCTTCCAACTACTGGGGTAAGGGGTTTTGTTTTGTTTTTATGTTCCCTTGAAAGGATCAGTCCAGCAGCTGACTTAACTGTAGAATGTTTTTTTTTTTTTTTCCTTTTTACATGAAGCTACTCATATCAAGAGCAATAGTCAGTCTTACAGCCAGACTGTCAATCCTCAAACTTGACTGTACTGACCTGACCATCTCCCTTTCATCTCCAGACAATTGATGATTCCCCTAGTTTATTCTGTGAGTGTCTGCTTTACAACTAACCTTCCATGTCATACAGAAGCCCAACCATTAGTTAACAGTAGTTTTATCAACTAGGTTTATTGTTTTATTGATAGCACATCCATGTATATTATTAAGTAACTTTCATTTAATTTCTAAAATATCTGAGATGGAGTATTTTGTGAAAAAGCTACCATTCTGTTCACATTTTTGCTTCAACACTTTGCAAGATGGCGTGGTTATTAGGCACTTGCCCCATATCTACATCTCATGAACATAAATGCAGTAGATTTTTCTTTGAACAGCAAAGGCAGAATTCATGATTTCCTATCACAGTGAGTCACACCTTACCTAGGATGCTATGCCTCTGCCTGACACCTTATTGATCGTGTATAACACGCCGTCACATCTGTCTTTGTAGATGTTTGACCAGCAGGGATCTTTGAGTCCAACCATTCATCTTACAACACTGAGTGGCTTATGAGTATAAATGGATACAGCAGAGGCATTCCTGATACATGCTTGCATCCATGTGTTGATGTTCCCCACCCAGTGTAGCATCCTGAAGGTAAAGGACAGAAGCTGAGCTGCAGAGAGGCTGTGATGGGGCTGTAGAAGGGGGAGCACTGTGACCTGACTTTGCACACGAGGGAAAAATCACCACGTGGAAAAGGCAAAAAAAACTTGTTTTTGTAACACCTGACAACTTCATGGCCCTTGATATATGTATATATGTATATGTGCATGGACTGTTTCCAGTACACCTTTCGGCCAAAACAAGATCCACAGTCGTTGAGTTCAAGTGCATAAAGAGACAATGTCTGGTACAATTCTTGTATTTGTGTATGGGGTTTTGTTCTTTGAAGTTGTTTTGTCTTACAAAGGTGAAAATTGTTTGCAAGTGGAGTGAGAAGTTCATAATTCTTTGGCTTTTTTCTGTTGTTTAAAAGTTACTCCTTTTGGGGAGCTGGTCTGCGTGACTCACTGAACTTGGAAATCCTTGTTTTCAGCGTGTCAAGTCAAATGTGTTTATGTGAGCTGTCCCTGTGGGGAACCAATTGCTTTGTCATGTAGCTGGTTATGAACTAGTAACGTGTTTGGGAAGTCCTACTGATGTTCCTTGTTGGGAGAAAAATTCTGCTGGTTCTAACAACTGCTTCTGCTATGCATGGTATCCAAGTCAGTTGGAAAGCAGACCCTGAAATTTGAGTTTAGGGTCATTTAAGAAAGGGGCAGTTTATAGCACAATGCCTCACATGAGACAAAGTTCTGAAATGCCAAATTCTTATATTTTAGAAATCTAGTTAAATCACTAGTATAAATGACTAGTATGAACAGAATTGGGTTCATTGGAAACACTAACCAACTTAACATTGAGCTTGTCTCCATGAGAGAGCATTAGCTGCCCAGGATGCTGCTATTTAAAAAAAAAAAAAATGCAAAATAAAAATAACTCATTTATACGTGTGTATTTTTTAAAGCTACGATCTGTTCGATGTTTTTACAAATCTGTTTCTATGACATTGTTAAAATAACGTTGGTCTTTTGACGAGAGGGAGGATGTCATGGTCAGTTGTAATTTTGCCTTTACAAGGCACCTGGGGTGGGGGGCGGGGGGACTGTGCCTCCTTGACATTTGTTCAAGCTATAGGTTCAATGGAGCTATGTCTTGTTGTTTTAAGTTGCTTTAATGCATTGTATTAGGTCTTCAAACAGAATAAAGGTTGTTTTGAAACTGAAGTCATGGTTTGAAATTTCAACAATCACCAAAGAAATTGTTAAACTCTCTTTGCTCTTTCCGTTAATAATGTTGCTTCTCTTTCTGTCATCCCCCACCCATCCCCTGTCACTGTCATTATATTATCTCATTTTTGTCCAGGGAGAAAAACAGGAGTGGTCACATGAATGATGGGTCAGTGTCATTTACGTCATTTCACTATATCCTTAATGATGCAAAGAAAGAGCTCTAGGTAATATCATTCCAAGTCACTGCTCTTGGTCTAAGAAAACGTAATCACTGTCTGTCAATCCCTCCCATTCACTGTCCATCTCCAAAGCTTCAGAATCATTCTCTAAAAACTGGTTGGTGAAAGTAACCTCTCTGTCCTTCTGTTGTACGGGCTGCATATCTGGGCCAGCCGCAGCACAGGGGCCCTGTGAGGCACGGCAGCACGCAAAGGTGACGCGGACCTCTCGACAGGAAGCAGCTTCGCTCTAGATCCTGCTTTCACATTATAATGTGCTATAGCATCTGGTCAATGTATGTGAACCATTCTTAACCTAAGATAACTTGCCCACTTGTTTTGATTGCTGACTGAAGTTATAATGAGGTCATTCTGCATGCACCTGGCACTCAACACCTCAGCACTGTGAGGGTCCCAGACATGAAGGCATGGTCTGGTGACGACGATGAGAAGGGCACATAGTCATTACAGTCATGGCAACAATGACTAATATACCAAGGATGGCAGTAACTCTTGGATCCATTTCCTGCTCTGTTCTGTCTTACAGAGAACTCTATACTCGGAATCTCTTGACCTCGGGCTTCTAGGTAGTGAATCTCCCTTGTTTCGCTACCTCGGTAGTAGTGCATCTAGGTAGTGAATCTCCCAGCTCCTGCCAGAAAGACTCTTGGGGATCTGAGCAGCCCTACTATGTCGCTCTCTCCCTCTCTGTTCCTCTGGCAACAGTGTCTCTTCCCATTTTTACTGTAACCCAAGGTGTAGTTGCAGCTTTCTATTGTTGCTAAACCTCTGGTTTCTCTCAGAACTCCCACTTTGGTTTCTGAGACAAACCTAGTCTGGTTTCTGTCACCTAAATAGCCAACCCTCTTTATTCAGGCCTTTCTTTAAGACTAGATTCACTTCTTTTTTTCCCGATTGCTCTTTGATTAATAGACCAAGTGATTATTCTCCATTTAAACTATGTGTTATCTGATTTAATAATTCTTTCACAATGATGAGTTAGAAGACAATATCTCAGGTGGGGAAACTGAAGTATTGAATCTAGGTGACATCCAAGGTCATGCAGCCATATGACCCACAGAGTCCCCAGGTGGTCTGACTCAAGCTAGATCTCTTCACGACTAAGTGCTGGAAAAGGCACTCGGAAGTTCAGAGAAAAGTTCACTGGGTGGTCTTCCTGCTGGGGGATCTAACCGTATGGCTTCTCAGATGGTGGAGAGTGTACCAGCGGCACATAATGAATGGCAAGAAATGGCATGGGTTTCCTTTAGACCAGTGGTTCCTGTGCGGTCCCCAGACCAACAGCACTAGCACCAGGACCCCTTGGAAACCTGTTAGAAGTGCCTATTCAAGGGCCCCACCCCTGACCTGCTCACTCAGAGTGAGGCCAAGAAATCAGTGTCAGGAAGTTCTTTGGGTGATTTTAATGTATACTAAAATTTGAGAATCACTACTCAAGATCACCAGATAGTTGAAATAGTGCTTCTTATATTTTAATTAAAAGTCACTACCATTAATGAGTGATATGTAGTCTTACTTTATAATTTATGTTCATAGCACAGACTCTATGTAGGGATGATAATAGATCCATTTACAGCTTAGGAGGTCTAGCTAGGTCAGCTCTTTCTTTAACCCAGCTGTGGGAATTTGACCAACTCCATTTACCTGTCTAGACCTCCAATTTACACCCGTGAAGTAAGGTTATGAGAAAGTCCAGAAAGTCTTCAGGACTTAGAGCACATGTTGAGTATTGAATGAAACAACCCAGTTGCCCAGTTCTCCACTTAGAATTTTGCCAAAATTATAACCCACAACATGACTGTGACTATAGACCACTAAGATTGTAGTATGGCCCTTTATCTGTAGCAATGGCCAAGAAGCATTAGCAAAATTAGAATCCTCTTATCTTGTTCATATCTTAATGCTACACTTCAGATGAGTCAAAATGGGAAGCCTAGTTCTTGATAATATGATGAAGAATACAGTTGGAGATGGCACTTTGTCCATCTATCTAAACCACAAGAACCTGAGTCAGAGAACTTGGCCTACCAAATCTTCTGGGACATGGTTGGAGTTAGGTAAGTATAGTAGTTGACTTGACACTCTGTCAACTCAAAAAAAAATTTTCCCCCTCGGACTTGCCCCTTAAAAATGAAAAAGTATCTGTCTAAAAATAAGAATCCTGTAAAGACTTAAATGTACAAGACCTGAAACCATGAAACTCCTAGAAGAAAACAGGGGGAAAGCTCCTTGGTATGGGTCTTGGCTATGATTTTGGATCAGACACAAAGCACAAATGACAAAATCAAAAATAAACAAGACAGACTTGTCTCATCAAACTAAACAGCTTCTGCACAGCAGAAGAAATAATATACAAAATGAAAATACAATGAACAGATGGGAAAAATATTTGCAAATCACGTATTTTATAAGAGGTAAATATCCAACATATATAAAAAATTCATACAACTCAATAGCAGAAAGCCCTACAAATAATCCAAATGAGCAAGAGACTTGAGTAGACATTTTTTAAGGTATTCAAAAGGCCAAAAAGCACATGGGAAAAATGTTCAAATCACTAGTCATTGGGAAATGCAAATGAAAACCACAAGCTGTCCCTAGAACGGCTATTATTGATAAGTGATGTCACCCAAATGGTGACATAGGTGACTCCTGATTTGACTTCCCCTCACATGAGGAACAATGTACACCTATTCATGGACAAGACGCAACTGAGAATCCTAGAACAAGGGAGGGAGGGAAGCATGCCCCTGTGCTTCAGTAGCTGTCTCAATCAGCAGCTTTGCTCATCTGTAGAGCCAAGCCAATGGCCCAGTCTGGCTAGGGATACAGGTCTATCTGATTCAAGTCCCCAGTGGAACAGTTTTGCCAGCCCTGGAGCCTGGTCTGCTCACACCCAGGCAGAAAAG